CACGCACACATCAACGAAAACTAAACACATTTTTGCTATAAATTCAGTTAATTTTAGTTAGTTTTGTGAACACTCATTACAGTTTTAGTTAGTTTTCCTTTTTTGTTTTTATTTTTATTTCCGTTAACGAAAATGTTTTTTCACTTCTAGTTTTCGTTATTTCGTTAGTTTTCGTTAACGATAATAACCTTGGTACAGAGAGAGAGAGAGAGAGAGCTGTGCATGAAGTGTGATTTTATTGTGGTGGCAGCAAAACAGGAAAAGTAAGAGGGAATGCATGACAACGTTTACGGGAAGCGAAGTTTGGATCTTCTTTTGCATCTGGTTCAGTCAATATTGTTTGGAGAGAGATAAAAACCTGCAGCTTCAGAATCAGCACAAAAAGGGCCTAAACACAAAGCGCGGATCCGCTGAAACATTAGAATCAGCGAGCTGTCGGCTTTCAGCCCCGACCTGATTTTGATCCGTTGGCGGGTCCGTTGGCCCGTGTTTACATCTTTGTGCAGAATCCACGTACCTGCTCTCATTTTCTGTTTTAGCTGTTTGGTGGTTGTTGAAATTTTGTGAGGTTTAACCTGAGATTCTGGTGTTTCGTGCTAAATAAATTTATATTTAAAAATCGATTCAGGATTTTAATGAATCAATATCACGTTACCCAAGCTAGAATCGATTTTAATCGATACATCGATAATCAAAACCCATCCCTAGTATCCAGTTTAATCCTGGCGAGAGACTGCGTCAAAGTGTTTGTTTTTTAGAGTTTGGAAAGTTCACTGATATACTGATATGTTTCTAGGTTGAGTGGCTGTAACCTCACAGAGAGAAGCTGTGAAGCTCTTTCCTCAATTCTAAGTTCTCAGTCCTCCAGACTGACAGAGCTGGACATGAGTAACAACAACCTTCAGGACTCAGGAGTGAAGCTGCTTTGTGTTGGACTTGGGAGTCCACACTGTATGCTGGAAACTCTCAGGTTAGCTGATTTTTTGTTTCAGGAGATTTGGATATTTCACAACTGTTATTATTTTATAGATTTTAAGATGTTGTTTCTGTTGTGGTTTAAGCTCTCAAAGAGAACAGTAGAGTAGAAAGTGAAAAACACACACTTCATAAATCAGAAAAATATGACTTTATTTATGATTGTCCATCATAGCAAAAAAGACAGAAAGTCAATGATTTTATTTCTTTTTTTTAACTGAGTGAAGAAAAGCCAGTTTGTTTGTTTTTGTAACAACTTTAACTGAAATCTGAATCCGTTAATTCGACTACATGTACATCATCAAATTCAGTTCCTTACAATGATGTGACATGTTGTATGTGTTTGAAGGCTGTCAGGCTGTCAGATCACAGGAACAGCCTGCACCTCTCTGGCCACAGCTCTGCGCTCCAATCCCTCCTATTTGAAAGAGCTGGACTTGAGCTATAATCACCCAGGAGACCAACACGTTCTCACTCCCAACTCGTCAAACGTGTGACGCATGGTCAGGCTCCCTCTGCT